AAGGTATAGAAACATAGTTGATTGAGCCATATCCTTTTGGTGGATGGGGGAGACAACGGAAAGAGTATGGATCATTAAATGATGTAAGTTAGCTGGATTTAAAGGTAGAGAGCAAATGAAAGCAAGTGGGGATAAGAGGGTTATTTCAAGGAGATCCTCCCAATCTTGACCCAATGCCTTTTTCCCCCCTGCACTTCCTTATTTATCCCAACCTCATACACGCTGCTTTGCAGCATTCCCTCAGGCAAGGCAGCAATTTTAGGTCCTAATGATTTATTTAAAAAGCACGGGCAGCTTTACCACCTCTTAAATAATTAAAGAGAGTTTGCAAAGGGGAGGGGCAATTCCATGAATGTGTACGCTGACATGCATGCATGTATGCAGACACACACACACACACACACACACAGAGAGAGAGAGAGAGAGAGAGAGAGAGAGAGAGAGAGAGAGAGAGAGAGAGAGAATTAGCAGGTGCTATGTATGCTGCAAGACTAAGTAAGAGGATGGGAGAAGGAGGGATCTACAAACGTGTGTTTTTCTTTCTTTCTGGCAGTAGCTTCTGTCACTTGCTCATTTCAGGCTCCCAAGACAGGCTTCAACAACGCTGGTCTCTAAAGATCAGAGAGCCCTTCTGGCTCAATTACATACAGCTTTTGACCAGGAGAGACAAAATTCCATCTGGATAATGCTTTTGAAAATGGTACAGAGACCATTTACTTCCAAATCCCCCATCATCTCTTAAGCCAGACCCCCACAGCGATATGCTGAGCAGTTCATCAAGTATGCTGATGAAGGCAGTTCATCAAGTACTATATAAGGAAGGCAAGGGTTCATTAAATTGCCACAATTTCTTCCTAGGTTTGCAAAGAAGGACAGGGCAGGCTTGGCATGCTGTTCCTGACATGGTAAAGCTGAAGCTGTGTAGACCCGGCACAGAGTACCTGGGGAATGCACACACATTTATTCTAGGGGAAATACTTCTCACAACTTAACCTTTCATACAGGGTTGCTACAAGCAACCCGCAAAATAACACACGTGTTTGCCATGACCTTTGTGGGATGGGCAAAATACAAACCCAAGAACTAAAACAAAACCCTAAACTATGGTTTGGCTAGGGTTCAGCTTTTAATAGGTGCGTGTTTTGTTTTTTTAAAGGTGGATTAATTATAAAGGTTGGTTCAATATTCGTTTTCTAAAACTAAACAGTCCATAATTGTCTTAATTCCACAATGATGACATAGCAACATTCTTTTATGCCGCTCTGCCCCCTCCAATCATGAATACGAAAGAGTTAGCTTCACACCTCCCCCTGGCAACAGCTTGAGCCTTCTTTAAAGGAAATCAACATTACATATTTGTTAGGACACCCACACTCAGACATTAACTTGTGCTTGTGTGGAAAAAGTAACTACATTTTAAAAGAGCCCTTGGTATCACCAGGCTCCCAATGCTCTTTAATACCACATCTTTATCCTGGGATGCCACCTCCAGAGACATAAGCGCCATCTATCTCAAATCGTTAGGGTTTCTTTTGCATCAATT